TAAATTGTTCCACTATATAAAATTGCACATATTTTAGGCTAGCATGTAGTATTACTACATATTTAAGTATACTATAATTCTTAAAATAGTTTAAATATAATATATATTTCTTATTAAAGAAAAAGAACACATTTTTAACTAATTAAACATTAATTAGATGTGCATATACCCATGTAACGCAAAAATCAAAAAGAACAATTTATCTTATAAAAAATTTATATCAATGTATAAAATTTAAACTTCGAAATTATAAATAATAATAATAATACTTTTTCTCTAGAAAAGTGGAACATGGAGAAACTGGTCATCGAGTACATCCCTTTTAACTTCTTCCACTTCTTCTAAATTACATTTGCAGTTATATTTTTTCTTCCAAAATAAAAACTTTGCTTTAAATTTTTTTCTCACTTTGTTCAAAATCAAAATATTCAGAAGAATATGAGAACTAATTTACATCTCTTGCTCTTCCTCTGTTTGTCCTGTTATCTATCTATCTCAAGTAATAATTCTCTTCCCTATATATATATATATATTTCGTGTTTATTAAGTCGTGATAGGGAGCCTTAGAGCAATGATATAGTTATTTCCATGTAGTTCGAGTCTAGTAAAGGCATGTGATCTAGGTAGCTGTGTAATCAGCTACTGATGCTTGTGTCAGGGTAGACTGTATAGATCACTGGTCCTTCGTTGGACCTAGTGTAAATACAGAATGCTTCGTGCACTGAATCATTGTTTTTTTTTTTGGTCATAGATCAATATGGAAAACTAATTGGTATTACCTCAATTCTATTCATCTTAGATTGTTAAATTGCTTAGAATTATGCCTAATCCATAAAATTTGCATGTGTTTGTTAAATCGCGAAGGGAAGCCTTGGAGCAATAGTATAATTGTCTTTGTGTGATTCGATCTGTCGAATCAACCACTTATTTTATACAGGGTATAAGGAGTGGAGTAAGGCTACACCGACGCAATTGTCTACTTATGCTTGTGTCAGAGTAGGCTGCCTAGATTACAGGCCCTTTCCTTGGATCTTGCGTAAATGCAGAATGCTTTGTGTATCGAGTTGACTCTCTTGGTACAAATTGTCTAATGTTGTTATGATATGTGCAGATGGAACTGAATTGATAATAGTGAACAATTGCAAAGAAAGTATATGGCCAGGAATTCTTGGCACAGCAGGGCATGAAACACCAAACAATGGTGGATTTCATCTCAACATTGGTCAACAAGTTGTAATTCAACTTCCTAACTTATGGTCAGGAAGAATATGGGGTAGACAAGGTTGTTGTTTCGACGTAAATGGTAAAGGATCTTGTCAAACAGGGGATTGCTCCGGCCTACTGAATTGTTCAGGGGCCGGAGGAATCCCCCCTGCAACGCTCGTGGAAATGACATTAGGAACTTCAAACAATCCAAAACATTACTATGATGTAAGTTTAGTTGATGGATTCAATATTCCTGTTTCAATGATACCAATTAGCGGTAGCATTGGCTGCGGTGTTGCGGCTTGTGAAGCTGATTTGAATCAATCTTGTCCAGAATACTTAGCTCTTAAGTGTCAAGGCAAAATTGTGGGATGTAAAAGTGCTTGTTTAGCTACTAATTCACCAAAGTACTGTTGCACAGGGGAATTTGCCAGTAAAAACACTTGCAAACCAACCGCGTTTTCGCAGTTTTTTAAGACTATTTGCCCTAGGGCTTATAGCTATGCATTTGATGAATCTACTGGACTTAAGAGTTGTAAGGCGTCGCGGTATCTCATTACCTTTTGCCCTCCTACTTAATAGTACGAGCATTTCTAGTGTCGTGCTAAGAAAATGGACCTTCTACGTAAGTAAGTAACACGTATGTTCATGTGTTAACTCAATGTATGCAACTTTTTTTTGTCCATTTTTCTTACTAGTCTTTTGTATTGATATGTCTATTAATGAACAAACTATTTCTATCAAACTACTAGACTTAAGAGTTGTAAGGCGCTGCGGTATCTCATTACCTTTTGCCCTCGTACTTAATCGTACGAGCATTTCTATTGTTGTGTTAAGAAAATGGACCTTGGACGTAAGTAAGTAACATGTATGTTCATGTGTTAACTCAATGTATGCAACTTTTTTTTGTCCATTTTTCTTACTAGTTTGTGTATTGATATGTCTATTGATGAACAAACTATTTCTATCAAACGACTAGACTTAAGAGTTGTAAGGCGCTGCGGTATCTCATTACCTTTTGACCTCGTATTTAATAGTACGAGCATTTTTACTGTCGTGTTAAGAAAATGGGCCTTGGACGTAAGTAAGTAACATGTATGTTCATGTATTAACTCAATGTAAACAACTTTTTTTTGTCCATTTTTCTTACTAGTCTTGTGTATTGATATGTCTATTGATGAACAAACTATTTCTATCGAACTACTAGATTTAAGAGTTGTAAGGCGCTGCGGTATCTCATTACCTTTCGCCCTCATTCTTAATTGTATGAGCACTTCTATTATCGTGTTAAGAAAATGGACCTTGGACGTAAGTAAGTAAGTAACATATATGTTCATGTGTTAACTCAATGTATGCAACTTTTTTTTTGTCCATTTTTCTTACTAGTTTGTGTATTGATTTGTCTATTGATGAACAAACTATTTCTATCAAACGACTAGACTTAAGAGTTGCAAGGTGCCGCGGTATCTTATTACCTTTTGCCCTTGTATTTAATTGTATGAGCATTTCTAGTGTCGTGTTAAGAAAATGGGCCTTGGACGTGAGTAAGTAAATGTATGTTCATGTGTTAATTCAATGTATGCAACTTTTCTTGCATTCTTCTTACAAGTCCTTGTATTGATCTTGTCTATTTATGAACAAACTATTAAAGAGTTGTTAATAGTACTAGCAGTTCTTCAATCGCATTAAGAAAATGGACCTTGGACATAAATAATATGTATGTTGAAGTGTTAATTCAAATTGTGTGCAACTTTTTTTTTCTTTCCATTTTAGTTATAAGTCTTTCTCGAAAATGTTTTCCAAATCAATTAATTTTCGTCAAAATTTAGGAAAATGATTTCCCTTAAAAAATTAAGAAAAACATTTTCCAAAACTTTTCTCCAACTTCAAATTATATTTTCTTTGGCAAAAAAATTAATTTTAAAATATTTTCAATTTCAAAATATATATTTTTCACCGGATCCCTGACCCCCTCCCACCCACCCACCCACCCACCCACCACTGGCCAGCCCCCCATCCACCACCCCACCCAAAACAATTTAAGTTCGTTTTTAAAAATATTTTTATTTAAAAATTCCTACCTACCTACCTCCCCCCGCCAGGCCCCCCCCCCCCTTACCCACCTCTCTAGCAGCCCCCCTCCCCTCCCAAAAAGAAATATTAATTTTATTTTTAAAAATATTTTTAACTTCAAAATTTTATTTTTTCACCTAACCTCTACCCCCTCCCCCGCCAGCCCCCCACCCCACCCCACCCCTAAAAAAATTGTTTCTAAAAAAAGTTTAATTTAATAAATTATTTTCTACTCTAGTAAAAATAAAAGATGTTTCTCACAAAACATTTTCATTCATAAATCGAGCACTAAAAATCATTTCTAGAAAATATTTTCTACTCACCAACCAAACATGAGAAAATAAGTCCAAAATCTACTTATTTTCCAAGAAAACATTTTTCTTCATACCAAACACACCCTTGATCTCTTATTTTTTTTATGTACAAACTATTTCTATCAAACTACTATACTTAAAAAGAAGTGTTAATAATACGCTCATTTCTATTATCGTGTTAAAAAAAAATGGACCTTAGACATAATCACTATCAAATTCAATGTATGCACACAAAAAAATCACTATTACTATCAAATTAACACTTCAACGCACATGTACATGATCGCAATGTATGCTCAATTGTTAATTCGATGAACTATTTTTGTTGTTACACATACCAAAATTTTCACTAAATATTTTTCAATCAGAAAATAGTGACTAAAGCAAAATAAAAAAAAAGGAATCAAGCAGTTGAATATAATTTTTTAAAGACTAATCTTAGTATTAAATAACTACGTAAAATAGCAAGAGTTAAATTTAGAGTTTTTCAAAACATCATTAACATTATTAATAAAATTAATTTAATAAAATATATAGAGGTCAAGTAATATAAAACGTCGGAATACTTCACTTTGAAACTAAGGTTAGATTTCCCAAATTCAAAGTTTTTCCTAAATGGACATAGCCAGGCAACTAGCAGCTGGTAATTTTTACAAGAAAGTACTAATTTTAATTAGTGATACTTAAGTGTGATTTTGATATTCCAAAGTACAATGTTAATCTTCATGTAAAAGTTTAATTAGGTACAACTATTTATTTAACTACTAGTCTACTATGCATCAAGCAGCCGGTCAACCATTTTTTACAAATTCTTATTTTATTTATTTATTTTGCATCTTGAAACAAATTAGAACAATAAATACTAAATATAAGGTATACTTTACTAATTTATCCTAATCTATTAAATATTTCTCGAGATTTGGACACGACGTGATTTTTAGTGTAAGGTCACTATTAAAAAATCACTATTTTTACGGATTAAAAAATGATTAGTGTTATTTTTACCTATATTTTAATTGAATTGGTGAAAAAAGAAAAAATAATAATGTTTTCATATGAAAAAATTAGAAAGTTTTTCGGTATTTCAATACAAATCTATTTTCCAATTTGTGTTTTTTCAGTAACCTAACTCGTTTGAAAGATCAAATTTAGTCGCCTAAAATAGAACAAAGCATTTTTGGATTGAGATTAAGATAAATTTAAAAATATTTATAGATTCAAAATTCTAGAATAACACTTTTAAGTATTAGTAATTAAATTCTAAAATTGATATATTAATATAACAAAATTATTAAATTCTTTCAAACTCGCAGCTTTGCCGCTAATCAAGACACTTGGACCCATCCTTTAAAATAAAAAAAGAAAAAATGAGTGAAGATTAAATAGTTGGTAGAGTTAAGTAACCAATCTTTGCATTTAAACGTGTCGTAAAGTCTAAACATCCCATGAAAATATATTACTCTATGTTTCAATTTGTGTTACATTTTTCATTTTTCGTGAGTCAAATAGTTTAAGTTTGATTAGAAATTTATGTTGAAATTTTCAATTTTTTCGAAATGAAATTTATCTACTCCTTTGTAAGCTACGTAAAAAGTATTATAAATCACAATATTTGATAATTTTAAATATTTAAAAGATCTACGAAAAATTTACGATCAATGATAAACTCGTTTAAATCTCGAGATTCGAAATGTGCCATTTTAAAATGAAAGGAATGGAGTATAAAAATTAAGCATATATAGATCTTATAATATAAATAAGTCTCCCATGCATCAAATATTAGTTGTGAAACAAATAAACAACCTCAATTCTCTCATAACACCGCACTAAAAAAAAACATTACACTATACAAAAACACTTAGAAAAAAAAACACAAAAATTCCAATGGATTCTATTGTTTCTGAGCTTGAAGGAGTTCTTTTGAAAAACCCTAATCCCTTTTGTTACTTCATGTTATTAGCTTTCGAGGCATCGAGTGTAATTCGATTTGCTTTTTTACTAATGTTATGGCCAATAATTCGATTCCTCGAATTTTTAGGGAGAGTGGATTACGGATTAAAACTTACTATTTTCGTAGCCACGATGGGGGTAAAAATATCCGAAATTGAATCAGTGTCTAGAGCTGTTTTACCTAAGTTTTATTTTGATGATATTAATATGGAAGCATGGAGGATATTTAGTTTGTATGATAAAAAAGTTGTGGTGACTAAAATTCCAAAGATTATGGTTGAGAGATTTGTGAAAGTGCATTTAAGATGTGATGAAGTTGTTGGTAGTGAACTTGTTAGTAAATATGGATTTGCAATTGGATTAATTAAGGATGATTTTGACAAGATTAAAGATGGGATTATTGAATTATTTGGTGATAAACAACCAAGTTTAGGTCTTGGTAGACCAAAATGTGGTTCTTCTTTCCTTTCTTTGTGCAAGGTAAGTACACACAAAACTATAATTTTTTTTTATTTTCCTAGTCTTACATCTCTATAACTACCTTATGTTATTTGTTTTGCTTCGGTTATCTTATTATTTGGTTGTTGTTTATACTTGAATCAAATGACTTTGCGTATACATTGAAGTTAAACTCGTAAATATATGATAAAGGATTTAATTATTATTAATAAGCGGCTAATTAATTAGAAGCAGTTAACCGTTCGTCGATATGTCTGTTTCTAGCGAAAGATAAATTACTATGTACATATTGAAGTTAAACTCATAAATATATACAAAAGAATTTAACTATTATTAACGAGCTGCTAAGAAGCAGTGAGTTGTTTGTTGACATGTCTGTTTCTAGCTAAGGGTATTTCTGAAAATTTTATATTCCAATTTAGTTATTTTACTTTTCTTTTTAATCTATTGTATAAAATTTCTAACGGTCATTCTTCCAACTGCACTTTTTAAATTTTATTTATGTATCACGTAAATTTTAAAAAATGATAGTAAGAAAATCTATTAATTGAATTTATTAGCACTAACAAATGGAGATAATTTTTATACTATATATATATCATATTACTTACACTTGTTGCAAACTCGCAACTAAATTTGCTTAATTTTCCAAGAGTATAAATGTATTAATAAAATATCTTTTGGCTGAACTAGTTATGTTAAAAATTTTCTATTCATACGATATTTGTAATTTAAACTTTAAGTCCATCGATACATTTTAACCTGATATATATATGTAAAACGTAATCTATCATATTTTCTAAGTGACTACTTATATTTCCAATGATCTCATAGTGCATGTAATTTTTAATTTTTTTTTTACCTTATAGAAGTTATTAACTAATGTTTAAAATGTTATATGGAACAGGAACAATTACAACCACCATTCTTAAGAAGCAAAAATCAAAACCAACAAATTATTATCAATCCATTACCAGTAATTTTCCATGATGGTAGACTTGTTATTCGACCAACACCATTTTTAGCCCTAATAATACTTTTATGGATTCCACTAGGTATTATTATAGCTACAATAAGAATTATAATTGGCTTAATATTTCCAATATGGTCAATTCCCTATTTAACACCTTTATTTGGTGGCAAAGTCATAGTCAAAGGAAATCCACCGTCATCATCAGCTATCACGGTAACCAATTCAGGCGTACTGTTCGTATGCACTCACCGCACCCTTATGGACCCCGTCGTCTTATCGATCGTACTCCAGCGTAAGATTCCCGTTATGACTTACTCAGTCTCTCGATTGACCGAGGTCTTGTCCCCGATACCGACTGTACGTTTGACGAGAGTTCGAAATGTGGACGCATGGAAAATCAAATGTCATCTCGAAAAAGGAGATTTGATTATGTGTCCAGAAGGGACAACATGTAGGGAACCGTTTTTATTGAGGTTCAGTGCACTTTTTGCAGAACTAACTAACAGTATTGTTCCCGTGGCCCTGAATTATAAAGTAGGGTTTTTTCATGGAACAACAGCTAGGGGATGGAAAGCTATGGATCCAATATTTTTCTTGATGAATCCTAAACCAATTTATGAGGTGACATTCTTGAATAAATTACCAGAAGATGCCACGTGTTCATCTGGGAAAAGTCCACATGATGTTGCAAATTATGTTCAAAGAATTTTGGGTGAAACATTAGGATTTGAGTGTACAAATTTTACAAGAAAAGATAAGTATAAAATTCTTGCTGGTAATGATGGAATTGAATTAACAAAAAATACTAGCACTAATTATGGGATTAAGAAGTTGATTAACTTCTTCATAAATGTGGTAGGCACAAGAAATAAGATGATTATGAGGTACTTTATTTAGGTTTATTATGTTTTTTTTTTTGTTGTACAAATTGAAGGAGAGGTACTTTGCATTTTTTTTATGTTCTTTTAATTTATTTTTTTTAAGGAAATGTTGAATGAAATATTGGATTATAATTGCCTTATATATGACTAGGGTGTGTAATTTTATTTATTTTTACTATTTTCAACCAGAGATATCTTGTTTTTTTTTTTTTGATCAATTGATGCTGTTATTTTCATTAACTGTTTTTTTATTTTTCTATTTAATTGTATGAATAAAATTATTGATATTGATAATAAGTATTTTATATATTTTGAGATAAAATATTGATATTAAATTATTCTGATAATAAAATAATTAAAATACTCTTAAGTTATTTGTTACAACAAGTATCTTAAGGAATAGAACGAATAACAAATTAATATTTTGAGAATTAAATTAAAATATATATTAGAAGCAAATTAATAAGAAAGTTTTAATCGAATTAAAAATGTTTTTTGAAACTATCTAACAAAATGACCCATAAAAATATAATTTTTTTTAAAGTAAAATATTACAAAATCTCTAAGTCAAAGAAATAAATACGGTATATATAGATTTGGGTAATTATGTCGGAATCGGACCCTTTTGCACGCAAAAACGGTGTCGTTTCATATGCCAAACCCGAAATTCATAAACCATTTTTTTTTTCAATTTGATGAACATTTTAGCTTTGGCGTTCGAGTCCAGTTTCTGGATCTTTCTAGAGTCGACTCGTTCGCTCAAAATCAATCAAATTTGATAAATTTTGTATTGTGTTTTGATCAATCGCCATTAATCAAAGCCTGTAAGTGTTTGATCTTCGCTGTAAATTTCTAAAATTTTTGTTCATTTTGTGTATGTTATGATTTATTTCGATGCACCGACAATTTTGTTATCTTGTTGAATTTACTTTTGGATGTGCATTGGTTCTGCTGGTATAATTTTTTGAGTTGTTAAAGTTTAGTTTGTTTGATGATTTTTCTCTTTCAGATGATGTAATCTGAGTGAAGTTTCAATTTTCCAGCTGGTTATTGATGAATTTGGGGTTTTAGGTGGAGTTATATTTTGATTTTTAGTTGTACAGACTGTAATTAACATTAAACATGTTAAAATTGATGCTCGGGGACTCTTAAAAAAGCTTACTTTTTTGGTAATTGTGGGAAGTAAAGGGGTTTTAACTTGTTTCTGATTTTTATACATTATGATTACAATGGGTTCTTATATTGTATTGACGAAAAAAGGAGACTTTTCTGCTAAAGAGAATCTCTAGCTGCCAATTATTAGTCATCTAGTCTCTTAGTATGCAATTCTTTGTTTAGTGGAACCCTTAGGGTGTGGTTTGGTGATGAATGAAGTGGGTTAAGAGTCATGAGATCTAACGTTCAAATATTAGTAGAGGCGAAATGCTAGGTGATTGGTTTCTATCTGGTCTATTTGTTGCTGGTAGGAGGCGATATGTATCCTTAGTTGAGGTGAGTGCAAGTTTGAAAACACAGTTATACTGAAAAGAAACGTATTTTAGTGTGATGCTAATACTGCCTGGTTTACTTGGTCCCTCGTTCTTTATAACATTTGACTTAAGCCAATGTGAATGTCCTTGCTGCTGCTATCGTCAGCTTTCATTTACTCCATTGTAGACCTGGAGGTATTTAATGTGCTCGAGCTTCGCTTGTGTTGGAAAATGCATTAGCATGGCTCTGTTGTTAGATGATGGATGTAAGGGAGGATAGAAGACAATGTTGTTCAGTTAGTCAGTTAGGGGTGTTGTCAATTAGGGAATATGTGTATACATGCAATAAATCTGTGTTAATGTACATACGCTACTCCTCTAACATGAAGGAACACATTCCCTCCTTTTCATACTGTGTGAAGGTATTTGACTGACGTGATAGTTAAGATGAGTATGTACAGTATATAACTGGTGTACAAGAAGAGTAAAGCATGTAGAATACCAATTTTCTACACATATACTTGTCCCCTGCTCTATTTTATGTGATACTTTTCTTTTTAGTCTGTACCAAAAAAGAAAATGTGACACCTTTCTTTTTTTTTTAGAACAATTTACTCTTAGCATCCCCATTTCACCCTTAGATACATAAACGAAGACGTTCTCTCTCTTCTTAGTATTTTTCGTCCTAATTCCATACTCTGTTCTTTTATTGTGAATTGCGCTATTAATCTTGAGAAAATAGCCAAATGCTCCTCAATCTATTAGCCAATTTTCAATTACACTCTTAAACTTCACAGGAGTACAATTATCCCCCTGAACCTTTTATACCCTCAAACTCTGATCAGTCCAAGAAGGTGAATACACCTCTTGGAAGTCCGTAAGGGTTGATGGAGAAGTCTAAAATAGCTAAAGTTGAATTAAATACTTCATATGCCCAGTTTCTAGTTGGAGATTGTATAATTAATTTATTTTTTCAATTTTTCAATTATTATTTTTCCTTTTCTGATATCACAAAATCATCATACTCATTTCTTGATTTCTTCAAGCTTTTCTCAAAGTCTTTCAAAGGTGGTTCTCTAAATTTCATTATCGTTGATCTATTCCCACACAAGTTCGATGAAACTCAGAAAAACAGCGATGAATATGTTGAAATGGGCTGTCGGAATGTTGAATTTGAAGCAATTGAAGGGCCCAGTAAGAAGCAAAATTGAGGAGTAGCTTCTGCATTTTTCTCTGGCTTTTCGATGTGGGGAATTGGAGGTTTGACGAAATTTAAGAAGGGGCCAATATTTGGGGGGAAGTTTTGGGAGATGTTCAATGTTTCTAGGAGTAGAAATAAAAGGAACTTTGTGAACCATTTGAGCTGTAAACTTTGAGAGATCTATTTATGGAATCGTATAGCCTAATTCAGCCATGAAGATATTACAATATGCAAATTTTTGCCATTTTCCGCTACTGTTGTGTGATAAAAGTAACTGGCGGCACTTCAAGAATTTCAAGAGATCAAATGTAAAAGAAAGAAAGATATATCAAATGAATATACTCTACATCAATGGTCGCTCCGACAAGCGAGGAAGAAATCGAATAAAGAAGAAAACAAAGAAACAAGGAAAAAGAAAAATAAAATAAAAAATGAATACACAGTGCAAAGGTTATGAATTTTTAGAGAGATAATTATTCTACTTTAAAGTAGTTCAGCGGGTTAATAGGACTCCCGTGATGTAAAGGTGTGTAGTTGGTAATAGGCTAATAGGTTAGGTGGGGTGAGGAGGCAGGGCATTTGGCTATTCTCATTGATCTTCATTTATGACAGTTTGCTTTAGTGTTGTCTTCTGAAACAAAGTGTAGTGGGTTAATATTTGTACTGGACAAGTTCCTCACTTTGTATTCTCTGGATTTTCAGTTAATTCAAGCTCTTCAGTGGGATTTGGTTGCTGGACCTTGTATCCTGTACAACTCCAAACATGAGTTTTGTTTTCCGAGGCGCTAGAGCAGATATAGAACCTGGTTTTCCAGGATTGATCCCTGAGCGCCGTGCAGTGGTAGTCTCCTACATCTCCTTCTAGTGATTGTTACGTTTGTTATCTGTTCTACTCATCTTATGTTCCCTTACTTTTTTTCTTTTTCCATATTCAGCGAGTCCATGCTGGCCGTCCAGTTAATACTAACTCACTAGCTTTTCTTGTCACAGGTACCTCTAGCTTGCATCAATTTGTTCTATTATTTTTTTGTATTGTCACATTTGTTTGATTTACCTAGATCTTTCAATATAACCACTTTGTTGTGACAGTGCTCTTGCTGTTCATGATTCTGAATTCTCATCAAATGTCACCAAACTTTCTGGTTAGTGGTCTCTTAAAGAGTGATATCAGAGCATGTGTGATTGAATTAATCTGGCACTTATTTTATTTATATGGAACTTTATGTGTTTTGGCTTAAATCTACCTTGCAGCTGTGGTTGGTGCTTGGTGTCTTCTTCATGGCAACAACCCTAAGGATGTATGCAACGTGTCAGCAGCTTCAAGCCCAAGCACAAGCTCACGCTGTTGCTGCAAGTGGTGGCCTTCTTGGTCCTACAGAGTTGCGGCTGCATATGCCCCCATCAATAGCACTTGCAACCAGAGGACGGTTGCGAGGCCTCAGACTACAGCTTGCACTTCTTGATAGAGAGTTTGATGACTTAGGTGACAACGCATGCATCTCTGATCTTGAGCATTTTCTGGCCTTTTGAAAATCCAGGAACCGTAACTTATCTTGAAATGATCTTAAAAGGCGTGGGAAGTTTATTGATATTTTTTGGTACTAGCAGATTATGAAACGTTGAGGGCACTGGATTCTGATGATGCTCCTACAACCCCATCAATGACTGAGGAAGAGATAAATGCCCTTCCTGTTCACAAGTATAAGGTTTCTGGACCACAAAGGTCTGTGATGTTGACTTCATTTCTACTTTGCTTCCGCACCCTTATGAGTTCTCAGCTTTTGATATATCAATTTGACTCCTAAATCAGTTTATGTCTTCTTCCTCTCTTCTTTGTTAATTTCCATCTGTATCAGTTTTTAAAGATTACCGTACTATGGTGTCAACTTGGATGATTTTTCAGGTTGCTGGTGTACTTTGATTTGGTCATATGCATGCTGGAATTTCATTAACTACATAATTTTATACTATACGCAATCCTAATGTAGAATTTCTGCACAGTGAGCTATGTTATTGAGTGCTGATGTTCTTTCATTTTTCATTTTCTTTCTCCGTAGTGGAAGTTTAGGAATTTTATATCTCAATTATCTGATGAAGTTGAGGACAATATTATCTGTATGTCAGTTCTGTTGCTTTTTTTGTGATGGGGATTCCCTTCCTCGTAATATGGTTATCGATAACCTTGTTATAGATCAGTATATATCTGTTAGCACTATGCCATGTCTCTCCTTTAGTAATATCTTGGATTTTCTTGATCCTGATGACTGCTCTTCTTGGCAGTGCTGGTACATCAACACACCCAACATCTTCTTCAGGGTCCACTGAGGTACCTCGTTTTCTAGCCCTTTCTCGAAGCTTGTAAAAGAGATGCCTACCCAATTGATTATCTTTTGGAGTTGTTATTGACTTGTCGCATTCTAGTGTCCTTTTCATTTGCACAATTGATTTGCAGGAACAGTGTTTGCATGACTTATCTATACGACAGAATGTGATGATGTGTCCTATTTTTACTACTACTTCCATTTCATTTTATGTGGGGATGTTTGACTTGCACGGAGTTTATGGTCTTAAATATGCCTTGGACGTTGTTTTGGTTATAAAAGCTTGTCATTGAGGGTAAAATGGGATGTATCAAACTATATTTCCAAGTATAGAAATTTTACGTTCTTTTCGCAAGAGACTTACAGACTAAAAAGGAAAGAGTGAGTGCCACATAAAATGGAATTTAGGGAGAATGACCTTTTGGATAAATTCCAGGTGTCTTTACCATAATGTACATTTCGATGACAAACTGATCCTTATCCAGTGACACCAAAGTGTGTGCGCAAAATTAAACTCTAATATTAAAGAAGTGTTTCACCTGCATTCAACTGAACCATTGAGCTCATTTCATGTTTAAGAGTAGATGCTTCTCCCATGCTCCTTACATGCGCTGACCTAAGCCGTGTCCCTGAACTGGCCAATTCTGATGTTTCCTGTTTCTTTCGCGGTGTCTTTCTCCTCCTCATACTGAAACTAGTCTTTCTAAAAGGCACCTTCTCCAGAGATGTTAGAGAAGTATAATAAGAACCTTGTTGAAGAAGCTCTATGAGAACTGTTTTCACTTGCTTTATATTCTGACGTTCTTCTCCTCAACTCAACCATAAACCAAAAATGTCAAAAGATTGGAGGGCAAATCTTTCTATGGCTATCAAGCGTATAGCAATGAATCTCTTTCTTCATCCAGAGGATGAAAAGATAGCTAAAGAAGGAAGAATAGGAGTAAATTTGAAGGGGGAGATATAAGCTTCTTAAATACAACAAAAGATAAATTACCTTGCCGCATTGGCATCCTTCATTGTTGATGAAGTAAAAATCAAGTCATGTCAGTGATTTGGATTATCTGTGCTAGACTCATTTATTATTTGCCTAATGTAGTCTTGAAAACTAGTTTTTTTTCACAAGAAGAGTAAGGAATTTATAATTGTATTTCAAGCAGAAGAAGCAAGAACCTGCAAATGCTGTAGGAGGTACAAAGAACTCAGATGACGAACTAACTTGCAGTGTCTGCTTGGAGCAAGTCAGTGATGGTGAACTCATTCGTAGCTTGCCTTGCTTACATCAGGTTAAGTATTTGATAGTTATGTTTATTCTCGTGGTAGTCTTCTATACATGCTAGTATATCCCACATTCTTTACCTTCATAAATTTACTTTTTGAGCACATTTCCGTAGATCAATAAGATTTTTGTTTTAATTTAATTAGTTAGTATCGACTATCATCTCAACTATTTGGTGAGCTTACTTCATTATTCAAGTGTATTAAGACAAGGAAATATCATGGTTTAGACGTTAGATAATCTTGCATAGAGAATATCATCTCTTTCCGTCTTTTTTGGGGTTGTAGGAAAGAAGGAATGGGATAGTCGTTGAGGATAAAAATTTGCCTAATTTTACCTTCTAGCAGCAAAGTTAGTAAAGCTCAGTATCAACCTTTGGACGTAATATCTCAGAGAAGTTACATACTTGTACAATTTGAATCTTTTGTTTTTGCAGTTCCATGCAAACTGTATTGACCCATGGCTACGGCAGCGGGGAACTTGCCCTGTCTGCAAATTTAGGGCTGGGTCCAGGTGGGATGAGAATGAACAAGGCGGAGAAGATGCTTATGATATGGTGTAGTTTCAGCTTCGATACACAGATACGTATATATATACACATCTATATAAACAAATATATGCACCGCAGAAGCCTGTATCGTCAAACGTCTGTTATGGCACTCTGTAATTGTGTAAACTAGCAGAAATATGTCACATTGGTAAATACTAGCTTAGTCTTATATCTTGTCAGGATACCGAGGCGAGATCCCTCATTCGAGGTACACACAGCCAATGAGCCTGAACAATCGTTTCGTCGAATGTGTCTGTTTGTTTCCTCCCATCATTGTGTTGTACTGGAAAATTATATCTGGAAATTTTAGCTGTCAAGAATGTTTCGACAAATGTGGTTACTTTTATCATCAAATTGATCCTTTTGTCTATCCTGGGGGAGGATACAAATTTGTTAGTTTCCCTTCGAGATCATTTCTTATGTATATGAGGCTCGAAGGGAAGTGACCAACATGGTTGGTGCATTGGGAGTGCTTTATCTTTAATCAGAGGTTTCGGCTTAGAGCCATGACAGTTGCAGATCCAGAATTTTGTAGTTATGAATGCTTAACTATTTCTAATTTGAAGTTGGTATTAAAACTGGGTGCTCAAATTACATATTCATACAAATTACTGGATTTTCTTTATAATGATGGTGTTAGCTCCAAAATGTAATGGGTGCTCAAGCACCATAAACATGAATGTGCATCCGTTACTCAGTCCTGGAAAAAATCATGTTGGTAGCGTCGCCCAGAATAGGACCTATAGAGCGCAATTCGAATTTAGTCGGAACTTTAATGTAGGCTCCGAATATCGGTGAGAAAACAAAAAAAAAAGGTTCAAAGAGTATCAAGATGAACTAATGTGAATGAGTGTAAGCTTCGGAAATGATTGGTGTCTAATTTTATATCATTGAACTTAGTATTTTTAGTCATAACTTTAACGTATTCAACATATTTTAATTGGTTCAAATTTAATTCAATCCATCTATTTAACGCGTCTAATTTTATATCATTGAACTTTGGTATGAGTTGATGCACCACCTAACAATATTCTTCACAATATTTTCCGTTCAGATGCATGAATTTAGTCCTTTTCACGTTACTGGGGTATTACGTTGTTTCATCATTATGTTAAGACTCTAATCTATTAATTAAAAATTAGAAGTTTATCTGGAACATCTAATTAGTATCTTATCTAAAACAAAACATAGAATCAAGTTTTATATTAATATTAATCGTTAATCCAATAATGAACAAATATCAAATCAAACACATTATATGTGAAAGAGGAAATGTATGAACGTCTCAGTGTAGATGTATGAAATATCGCCTATAGATGGCTTTAAGAGAGGGAGAGGTAAATCGAATAAATATTAAGGAAATGTGATTTGACAAGACATGACGTAGTTCAAGTTTATCGAGAGCATTGCCTTAGTCGGGAGGTTATGGAGGATCAATGCATCGTGTTCGTATCCGTCCATATTAGTAATTATAGTATTGCTCTTATAGTTTCTCGTTTTTTGATTTTCATTATTATTTATCATGTTGTACTTTGATTATCATATTTTTTTGTTATAGTTATCTGATGTTTTTATTCTTATATGTTGTTTCTCATATTTGTGTTACTTTTTTTAAAAGAATTTTTTTTTCTGAGAATTTTTCAAAAACAGTCTTTCGATTTTCTAATGTTATTTTGTGGGATAATACAGAACCAATTTGATGAGGACTAAAATTTGACAAACAGTAACTAGATCACAACTCACAAGGACTAGAATTTAATTTTATCTATATTTGAAGGACAAATAGTTAAAATTACCAAATAAATAAAATTTGAGAAAAAAAAAGGACAATTTAGTTTCTAAATTAAGAAAGCTAAATAGACAAGCATATATATATAGGGCACTGCCTATGAATTTAATTTTCTGTTGCTGTCAATTTCCTCAGCGAGATTTCTGGGCTATCTTTTTAATGCAAAAAAATTTCAAAGATTTGATTTTTTTAACCATGTTTAGTTTCTCTCTAATTCAAATTTATATCGCGTAAGACTCGTTTAAATTAGTATGATATATAATTTCATGAAGTGTCGGAGTCTGAATTTTCGATAAGAGATTCAAATTTTGAAAAATATACATACGTACAAAGTAGCCAAAGGAGATTCGATATCTACCATATATACTTAAAAATTATTTTAATCATGTAAATATAATATAATTTTCCGCGAAAGAAGATTCGAATGAACTCCCTAATGTTAAGGTGGCTCCGCCACTGGTTCCATGAAGTTTAGTTTGAAGAGCGTAGTCAATAGAGCATACATGCAGATTTTACTTCTATCTCAAAAAATTATTTTATTTTTAGCTTGTATTAATTGTAAAGGTTTGGGATAGGTTTATTTTCATTTGATTAAAAAAAATATTATTAATATTGAAATTTTTACCTTTGAACATATGCTTAAAGTGTGAAACAATTTGCTCCACATATAGATAAGTACTTTTTTTTAATGAAATTGATATTGTTTATACATTACTCTATTCATAACTTTTAATTTTTGAATTAATTGTAGGCTCAAATATTACGGTTCTTTTTCAAATCCTGCTATAATCTACAATCTTATAAACATGAATTTCCTATAACTATAAGTGTTACCTCTGACAAAGAGTTAATAATTGTTTTGATAAATTGTGATTTTTTTTGTGAGGGTTGTGTCATTTTGAAGATTTGTGAATTTTGTAAAAAATTGTGATTTTTCTAATCAAGCACGATAAATACTTGTTCTTAATATCATTTGTCAGCTATAAATTGAGGGTTTCCTCTAACGTTTAAACTATGAATGTTTTAAGTTTTCTACTCTTCTTCTCGATCTTAAAAAACTCCAAGTGTGGTATATAGTCATTAAGTGAGTTCGAAATTTGAGGTACCACTAGTCTTCTTTGATATACACGTGAAAGAACATTTTTGACGTAATTATTAATTGGTCTTAAATATACACGTGCAACATACGTATTGAAAAACTATTACATATAAAAAAAAAAATGATTTGACATGACCTAAAATTATAGGGAAAATATTTTCGAAAATCAAACGTAGGTATCGATCAAAATTGAACATGACTAGGTGTGGCCTAGGAAAATCCAATTTAATTTCAACCTTGAGGACATACAAGTTGAGGACAAATACAAAGCTACAAGCTATGAAATATGGGGAAAAAAAATAAATTGATTTGACATACCAATATATATAATTGTCCTTTCAAAACATGAATGGAAGGTTGTGAAATCAAAAATAGGTCTCATAAGAATCCTAAGGTTATTATAGCTAGCCTTATATTTATTACTATATTTATTGTCGTCGTTGATTTTTTATCTGATGTTTGATATTTTCATTATAATTCAAGTAATTCAAATTCACATGTATAATATTTATTTTGTATAGCATTTTTATATCGAAGGCTCGCGATCGCGAGGTCTAATTAAAAAACATCCTCATTGCTATAATATAATAAAATATGGCATTGTTAGTAACATAGGGTTTAGTCCTAAGAAAATATATATGCATCATTATTAGTCAATTTGTGTTTCACCATGCAGGAAATAATATATATATATATATATATATATTCTCTCATAACTAATTACACTCGTTTCTTAATAACAAACCAAACATTATATATATTTTACACATGAATAACATATCTCCTAATTAATTGCCAAAACTTTATATAACTTACGTAAATTATAATATCGATATAACACGCCTCAAAATCAATCACGAATCACGATAAAAAAGTGTTAATGCTAACCCTACATGAAACAAAGTAGTGTGGATATTTAGAGAACATAAGACATTCATAAGTTAGTTCAGTGTTTGAGTGTTTGGCATAGAAAGCAGAGAAATTCGAAATATAAAATTTTATTTAACACAAAACACCTTACTATCTTAGATAAAAAAAATTCGATATAATTTTAAATTAATAATGTCGCAAAGTAGGTGTCCCTACACCAAAGGAAAAAAATATAGAACTCCGTTTTTTCATTTCAAAAAACATATCACCTTTTATAATTAGAAGAATAATTCAATTATAAAATTCTTATTCTATCGTTAATAATCTAAGAATGTTTTATACCACATGTTTTTAGTTTTTTTGCTTTTTATATTTGATATTAAATTAAACGATATCACTTAAAATTCGACAGATGGTGTAATAATAATTGAAGAATCCGTACGGAAACGAGAGGATATGTGAAGAGTTGGGCTTTGGCCCTCCCCACTACCCCGTGTTTCCCTCACCCCGCCCCCATCAATGTTTCTGTCTAACTTTTTTCGATTTTAATTTGATGAGTTCAATTTTTTCAAAAATAAAAAAAATATAATTTTTATGATTTTAAGTTGAAAATACATAGGTTTTTTCGTCCTTGAACATGTTAAGTATAAAGTTTGAATTAAGATTAAAAAAAAGTAAGATAAATAAATAAAAATAAAGTGAAGTACTTAGTTTATTAGACTTATTTATTTTGATCATAAATTTTTGACGTAATACACAAATGTACTATTTTACTTGGTCTCATTACATATTTATCTTCTTTAACTTTGGATATGTATAGTTACACAGGTAAAATTGAATAAAGTTGAACAAGTAGATAACGAGTCCTATGTGACATAATACACATGGATGTTATATAAGACTCAAATTGTCAGGATGTCACGTAGAATTATTGTGTCTATTGATTCAACTTTATTAAAGTTTAAGAGTCTATTATGCACGTCTAGCGTTGAAAGACATAAATGTGAGGTAAAATTAAATTTAAATATTTTTTAACTATTATCCTCTCGCCCTTCTCGATATATTATTCAAGTTTTAACTAATGATTTAATACGTTTCATAAAATGTTAGAGTATTAAAGTTTCACTACATTAATTAAAGACTGAATTGATAATCTTCTTAGTTTTTATAACTAAAAAATTAGATTTGAGATTCATGATTTCTTTTAACGCTATAAATATTTTTTTATGATAATTATATTAGATTTAAAATTCATTTCTTTTAACAAGTATTTCTATGATCCACTAATGCTCATGTAGTTGAGTAAAAATTTGAAGTTAGGTTGGAGCAATTGAGTTTTTGATAAAGACATTAGACTGTATTTGATTAGACTTGTGTTGACCTTGTTATTAGCTGGATTTACCTAGAATTATAACGATATATTTAATATAACTTCATATTAATCCATTTTAATACACTCAATATACTAATAACTATTGGATACAATTTCTAATAAGAAATTTTTAATACAATAACAATAACAATATATTTTGAGTAGATTGTACACAAGAAACTAAACA